GCTATAGTGTGGTAGACCTCACGCTATAGTGTGGTAGACCTCACGCTATAGTAGCACCGTTTTATTTTTATATCAGGATAATTACTTTATGGAACACAGTAGTGGAGACCTGTAATTTACAAAGGTTTAAGAGTGTAATAGATGATTTCTTAAAAAATAAAAAGTGGTTTTAAATTTTAAATTAGAGGTGGGTGTACAGGGAAAGCCAAGAAAGATGGTTCCTTGTTGTTCATAATGTGCTTCCAGTCACAATCCAAGAAACCTGATACCCTGAACACATTCAAAAAACAATCAAAACTGAAAGTTCTTTATTCTTGATTATATATTGATGCACTCTTATTTTAATTTTTCATGTTTTTCATGTTCCGATGTGTGATGTTATGTTTTTGTTGTTTACAGTGCAATTTCCTTTATGATTCACTAATAATACGGATTTCTTAGGATATAATCTGTTCTGATCTTTACATGCCTTACTTTTACTTAGTTATTGTTCGAACTTAGTGTGTTGCTTTAACTTCATGATTCTTTATTTTTATTATCTAACAAAAGAATGTCTGTTGAAATCATAATTTGGACATGTTTTATATATATATATTATTTAGCTTGTTTGAATTAGTAATGCAGCATTTTTGCAATTTTTAGAAACAAGTTAACTGACAGTTACTTTGTATCCTGTGTTGCATTATGACTTTTAGCAATATAAGATATTAATTTTTTGTTGATTATTATCTATCTTTTTTTTTCTTCTTTATTTGTGGACTTCCAAAGAATAATGTTTTTATCTTTTAAAGTTTTTCCTTAGTGCAACATTTTAAAAATGATACTATACTTGTGTGTACCAAAACTAAATGTTACATTTTGTATTACAAGGATATAAATGAGCCATTGATTGTTTTAAGTAATTTTTTGTCACTATTAATGAGGTGTTTTTTATCTTAACCTTCCTAATTATGTAACCCCTTCTTTCACACTGTTTGAAAAGTTCTTGGACTATTATTGTACATTATTTCAATTTGTTTTTTTCCCCTGGAAGTAGATAAAATTTTACAAAATCTTCTATAGGATATAAATTACATGGCAGTTAGGCAAAGCTGACAAAGTAGCAGGGAATGAAAGTTTAGAAATTACTTATTCAACCAGAAAAGGTGCATTTAATTAAAAAACAAAACTGACAATGTTTCAATCAACCCCAAAAATATGTTGAACAAAATAACTACTGCACAACACATAAGTACAAAAGGTTCCCTTCTTTTAACGGAAAATATACCATACAACATATCCTATAAACACGAGAAAGTTCAATCACTTTAATCACAAAATTTTATGATTTCTAAATGAAAATATCCCTGCCCACGGCATATATATTTGCGGTACTTTTTTCCATTAGATGCAATCTGAATACATAACGTACACTGTAAGTATATCTACAATATCTCTGATGTTTATCTGTAGTATTATCAGTATATTAATAGTTTCATATTCAGTAAACATATTCAGAAGTTGTCTATAGTGTTTAGATCCATAATATATAGAATGAATATCCATCGTACAGATATTTACAAAACAGAATAAATAATAGTAATAACAATGTTTACTACACTATGCACGTTTGACATGACCACGGTAATTAAGTGCTCAACAAAAACCACACCAATCATGATAAAATTGATAAATGGAGCTTTCTTTTCACTTACTTTGTTTAACTCTGAAGGTGAAACAGAAGGCTTTTTTTTCTCATGATATTGAACAGACCTTGATGCACCATCATTTCTTTTATCAAATGTTTTCTGTTCCTCTGTAACAGTTGTTGCTAAATTTGTGAATACTACGATCATGAGGAAACAGAGAACAAGAATTTGCTGCTGTACTGAATTCATGGTATCTAAGATACGATAAATGATAAATACAATGATCAGAAATGTTTTGAAATGATTATGATGGAATTATTATATAAGCTAAAGTTTATATTTTTGTAGCTAATTATTTTTTGAAAATGATAAAAACGGTCTCTTATTACCTAAACATATAATAAAAACACAGCTAATATAAACTACCCTATATCACTAATCTGGCCCACTACTCATCACTACAAATGTAACAAAATATGGACTTTGCCATGTGGCAAAAAAAAAAAAAAAAAAATTGATAGCATTTACCTATCTGCCTATTTACCTACCCACTTTATGACATATCTGGAAGTTTATAGGTTATAATTAAGAATGTTTTTCTTCTTTTTGTAATGTGATGATATCAGCAGATGAAATAATCTAATATTTCTGTACTGGTCCCCCTTAGTGTGTGATAGTTCAAATAAGTGGGCACATTTCATGGTAAATGTTTAAGATATTTATGAGTTGTAATATGCATATCTGTAATATCATGATAACTGAGCATATACAGAAAGAGGTTTTATATCCAGGTGCTTGCAGTAAACAAAAAGAAACACATCATGTATTAGTTAATACTAGATTGCAAATAATTCAATGAACTTCTTAAAACAGGCATACACAAATAGGGCTAGTAGTAGTAGATTTAATTATAATAAACAGGTTCTGTTAAGTAAGAGATTTTAGTCTTTAGCTTGTTCACATGAGGAACTAGGGAAGGTAACAAAAGGAACAGATAAGAATGGGAATGAAAAACATAAGAAAGTCATTTTTAAAGGTGATTCTTTAGTAAGGCATGTGGATATGATAGTCTGTGGGGTAAATGGGGAGAAAATTAGATTGTGCTATTTAGGGGCAGGGGGAAGATATAACCGACAGAGCAAGTGATATAGTAAAGGGTACTAGCAGTGATGTAGTCTTTCTAGTGCATATAAGAGCTAATGATGTAGGGAAGTGTAGGTCAGAGAAGAAGCTAACTGTTAAGTACAAGGCATTCAAAGAAATGGGCCAAAACAACTAAATTCTGTCATGGATACTGCCAAAACTTAATTGTGTGGATAAAATTATAAGTAGGGCACAAGGGCTGAATAATAGGCTTAGGTTAATATGTAAGGATAAGCAGACTTGCTGACTGCATTTGTGGGATCAATTCAATAGGAAAAGGGAGCTTTTCAGAGTGAATGGTTTACATTTAAATGGGGCAGGGGCTGGCTTGTTTGCAAGAGGTTACAACTCAACTATAAGGGCAGCTTTAAACTAGAACTAGACAGTAGAGAAAAGTATAGAGTAGGAACAAAGTACAAAAGTAGTTTTAATAGGAATTTAGTATGTATCAAAATAAATACTGAATAAAAGTCTATAGAAGTTATAATGTCATTCTATAGGTTATTAGTTTGGCCACATATGAAGCACTGTGTTCAGTCTTGGGCTCTTTACTTGAGAAAGGACATTGAATTTTTAGAAAGGGTTAACAGGAGGGATACTACGGTGATACCTGGGATGGAAAGGTTGTCATATCAGGATAGGTTAAGATATCCAAAATTGTTTTCTCTTGAAAAAATAAGAGTTAAAGGGGATCTGACTGAGATATTCACAATTGTTAAAAAAAGTGATAGCACTGTTGTGTCATCTTTTATTTATTTTTGCACTTAACAGTGAGAATTGTAAGATTAGGAGACACAAATATTAATTTTAACATGGTAGAAGTCACTTACAGTTAAGGCAGCTTTATGCTATTAAGGGTTGATGGGCCTTGGAATTTTTTGCTTTCAAATATAGTAGATGCAGTTAACTTAAGGGAGTTTAAGGGAAGGCTTAATAAATATTTAAATGGAAAGGGCTGCCTCTGAGTATTTTACTTTTATTTTAGAGTTCATTATAATAGATGGGACAGCTTAGATGGAAAAACAGGTCCTTTATTGTATTTAAACTATGTGTATATGTTGTTTAATCATGAAATACATCATTAAAACATATAGATACAAAAAAGTAATTCAATGAGGAAATTGTTGAAACACAGATTTAACTGCACAGTAAAGCTAATAATTACTGTGTGTGTATTATGTTTTAAAAATAATTTAACTCCAAAATCTTATGATTCTGTTCTTAACAAGACAGCTTTCAGAGTTAGAAAAAGCAGATGTTTTTAGGGAATAGTACAACCAAACCTTTATCTAGAGAATGACTATGACAAGGGCAAAAACATATTTGAGACACTTTTCTGCTCTATATTTGGCTAGTTTTTTTACACTCCTTGTGAGAATAAAACATCACTGAAGCTAAGGCATCATATGTGTATGCAACAACATGGAATAAAACTGTTAAAATTATATTCCCAGTATCTGTTGACAATGCATGTTTTACAATATTGAAATTGAATTATCACGTTTATGATAAACAATTTCCTTGATGTGGTGAACTGCTGAGAAAGTAAAATGTGTGGGAACATTTGAGAGATGTAACAAATATAGGAAAGAAATTGAGTAATTTCCACAATTTAATATGATGAAAAGTCATTGCAATTTGTATTTTTATCAAAATACAAACACCAAAACCAAGAATATTTTCACTCAGTTTGATGACTTTTGTTCAAACTAACAACATGTATATTAATATGTGAATACTTGCAAAGATTCTTTATACAGCATCCTGCTTGCAGAGCAGCAGCACATCCATTTTCTTACAAACCTGCCACTTGGATTGCTGCAGTTAGTATTATTATTACAGTTTTAGGACCGAGTGGACTGTCTTAGCAAAACAAGGTCTTTAGTATAGTAGCCTCCTTGACTAGGAGTAGGAAAGAGCTTCATCCTTTAGGAAGGTTCTTAACTTACATTGTATATTTCTTATGCAATAGCAGTAGTAGTACAACTTGTCAGCTCTACTAGTACAGCTAAGAGAAGTTATACAGTTGAGTCTGCATTATTTTGAGCTAGACATAATCAGTAGTCTTATAAAGACAAAATAATTTTTAATGAACTAAGTTTTGAGCAAATCAAAATTCTAAAAAAAAAGTGGATCAATTTCAAGAGTTGGCAAGCTAAAAACCTTAATCAGTGAATGGTCAAATGATTTATCATTTTATGTTCAACCAATGACAAGTATCAAATTCCCTTGACAAATACTTAACTTTTTCGATATATAAAATGTAAACATTTATCAGAAATTTTCAATACTCAGTTGTATATTACCGCTTCGCATTAGCAAAAAGTAATCGCCTACCATGTAATTTTTCTGCCATATTTTAGCCCTAACACTAACAGCAACAAACAGGTTAAATATACCAGTTATTCGCGTAATATTCATATCTTTTGGTTTTATTTACATCACTGTTGCTAGATTCCTACTAAAACCCTAGTGTTTATAACCCGAAGTTACCTCAAAACTAGCTCAAGTTTTCTTGTCTGAAGCCAAACTTAATATAATCAAAAAACGATCGAAAGCTTTCGTAGGAAACGACAATCAATGCAAAAATTAAATAAAAAACACTTCAGGAGACTTAGTGATGCATCACTAACACAGCAATTGGTTGTATGATCACGCGAATTGAGTGGGAATTTTGGTCATGCGCAATACGAATTTGTAATACCTGGGTGCGACAACATCCTCTTATTATCAGAGCGTTTTACCCTAAAGTTGGTACGTAGCGTTAAAATGTCTATGTTGCAGTCATGGATAATGTGTTGAAGTTCAACAATTTTGTAACTGTATTATTCATTTTTAATAAATAAACATTAAATCTAGTCGAAAAAATAGCAACCTGTAGCTGCTGAATATTTTCTGCAGCTATCTTATCCAAGGGTACATTTGAAATTACGCACAAATAATATACTGTTTTATTTGTTCGTCGTTTGGTCATGTGACCTGGGAGGATCATGTACACCTGGACCTCTATCTCCCTCCTTGATTATTGATTTGATTGTTGAGTGTTGGATGAAGCCCACATTAATTCTTCAGTAGAATACGGTTCGGTATTTAGGAAAACGAAATAAAAAATTACACTGGTGAACTAACTCTTCGTTTAAAAATAGTGTTACGACATCGAGGTCACGTGACTAGTATCACGCCACGTCGTTCTCGAACATTCACGTCCTTTCCTTAAATCTCGTGATCCTTCTAGATATAGTGTAGTCTTGTATATAGACTGTCCACGAAGCGTCAGGGAGGTAATGTAATTGAACAGTGTATTGTTGAAGTCGAGCACGTGAGACGTTCGTTGAGAATTATAGTGTTTGTTATAGCGCGACTGTTGAAATTAAGTGTATCGCAAAGTTATATTCAGAAAGAATAAACCAGTTTTATTTAAGAAAGGACTTGTGTCACTAAAGTTTCGTCGGAACGAATTTACGGAAAATTAACTAACGAACGGAGACGTAACAATAGTCTCTGTGTTTCATGTACTAACATAAAATAAGCTATACCATCTGGTTCGGAATTCTTCAGTCGAAGTGCTGAATGTACCTCAAAATCATAAAGCAGTTCGTTAATGGCATCGTGAGAGTTCTACGACAGTTCACATTCACGGAGTGAAGTAATTTGGTAACCAGACAATAAGGATGAATCACGAGAAATCAAATAGGTAACAGAAGCATTGGTCCGCTCATAAGGTGTAACAAGTATATGGCCTTCATATTTTCAGCTTAAGTTAGTAAGAAAAGGATGTATATTGTAGAAGCCTCGAAATTTCTTTCGAATAAGTAATAGATGTTTGTCCTAGTTTAAAGAGGAACAAAATTGTCCCCAGCAATATGTTTTACGTTTTCGAATATATTTGTGTTTGTTTTGAATTTCGCGTAAAGCTACTCGAGTGCTCTCTACTCTAACCTTCTCTAATTTCGAAGTGATAAGCTAGAGGGAAAACAGTTAATCAGCATCACCCAACATCAGCTCGTGGGCTACTCTTTGCCAACGAAAATTGAGATTGACCATCACATTATAACGCCCCAAGGCTGAAAAAACGAACATGTTCGGGGAAAGGACTAGAGCCCACGACCATCCAATTGTGAGGTGAGTGCCAACCATTAGGCTATGGCAGGTCTATATATTTCTGAGTTTTGGTTTTGATATGTCAGAAAGGCTGTGATGCTGCCTTATAAAAATGACTATTTATAGAACGATAAGTCCTTTACCGCAGTGAAACTAAACAGTACTTTCGGTATTCCACCAAAGAATTTTATGGTGAAAGAATTTGTGACAAAAAGGCTGAGCAGCCTCTTTAAAGATAGTTCCAAAACTTTCTGCATTTGAGATAGTTGAAATCTGGTATTAAAGACCATAAAGAATACCCCAATACAACAAGGTCTTACATATTCCAACAGGATTACTAAATGCAAGTGAAGATGATGAAAATAATACAATTGTTTCTCATGGTAAATGATAATTGCCAAAAGAGTCAGGAAGAACAGATCAAAAACATCACCCAATAAGTCATGGAGAAATAAAGGTCGACTCCAAAGGACTATACTTTCTAGTTTTAATATCCAACCTAGTAGGAGAACTAGTATTTAAAAAAACTAAGGTACTTTAATAATGAAAGTTTGGACTACTTGGCCATTTGTATTAACTCTATCAGATCCTCATATAGAATGGTGTGCATTAAAACCACAACAGATAAAAAGACTTCTTTCCACATTTGATATTAACAAAACCAGTTACTCACAACTAAAACTAGCACAACAAATATAAATGGGAAACACGGAAAACTTAAAATAATCGTATATATATATATTGCGAACCGTGATGACTGTACGAGCGTTCGTCTGTCTCTCGTTTACGGCGGCCGCTTCCCGCGCTATGTTTAAAAAGCTGCGCACGCAGGCAAGGCTCAATGACGGGAGAAAAGCATGAATAATGTCGATGCCAAATTTTATTTTGCAAGCAGGATATTCTACACTCAATTGTTATGTATTAATCACACAATCATTCACATTTCAAAATGTGACGTACCTTAAAGAATAAGAATTTAGATTTACCGAATGTTAATGTTGATACATGACTGAAATGCTTAACAATTACTTTTCGCGGTATAAGTAGCTCAGAGATTTGGTTCTGAGTGTAACCAAGAGTGCAACACAATTAACCTTTTTAAAGTCCACGAAATAATTAAAATTGATATATTAACTTACACTTTTCTCGTCATTGGAGACAGGTACTTTTGCTAGATTAACTTAAACTTTTCCCGTCACTGGAGACGGGTACTTCTTGTTTGTCTATTATACTAATACTTAGTTTCAGTCTGTCCTGAAAATGCGCACGCACCTTACTATCTAAATGCGCATGCGTACACACTTCGCATGTCGATGAATTTAAACAAAAGGCGGATGTAAATATTCTTTAGTAGAGATTTTGTACAACATATAATAAAAACTTAGCAAAGCTTTAAAAAAGGTTTAACGTTAGATTGTAGAATAATGTTATAAGTATATTTCTTGATACTGTTAAGTACGGTAAAGTTTACCTGTAACTAAACTAAAGAAAAATACGTATACACAAGTTAGAGTGTTGATTTATATCTTTATCGAATATAAGCTAATTATATAAGCTTATATAATAATTACTAACAAGCTTAACTGTATGATCAAAGTACAACTAAAACTGCTTTCAATACTCAGGAAGGATGCATGAATTCTGTGCCATGCAGTTTCGTCTATGTAATGTTCTATCACTTTGGGGAAGTTAAAGGAGCTTTACCTTTCAAAGAACTACAACAGAAAAGATGTCTCATCTATGTGAATAACATAACAGTCTTTGTTTTACATTTCAGGCCATAGCTGAGAATGGAATAGTCATGTTCAGCTGAACAAGAATGCGGGCTTGAAATTGAAACTAGGGGAATTTACATTCATGCACAAAGAAGTTGAGTTTATTGGTGGTATAGTACAAAGGTATGGAGTGATATATCCCTTGAAGATTGCAGTAGTAAAGAACAAGCCTCAGTCTGAGACTAAACTAGAAGTCCGCAGCTTCAAATGTTTTGCGTTGTTGTACATTTTTCCATGATACGCGCACCACTGTCTGATATACATTTTGTATGAACACCAGAACATAAAGATACATTTTTGTTCTTTAAGTATGCTTAAGTCGAAACACTGCTGCTGGTTTACCTTCGTGGAGACTTTCCACTCACCCTGGATACAGACAGTAGTAATAGTAGAACTGAAACAATTGTGTCATTGGCAAAAAATGGTATGAAGTATGTAACTGCGTACACAAGTCAACGTTAACTGCTTAGAAACACTGCTGCTGGTTTACCTTCATGGAGACTTTCCACTCACCCTGGATACAGACAGTAGTAATAGTAGAACTGAAACAAATGTGTCATTGGCAAAAAATGGTATGAAGTATGTAACTGCGTACACAAGTCAACGTTAACTGCTTAGAAACACTGATACTGCTTGCAGTAGTAGGATTTGTCAAACGTTACTTTATGAAGGGGAATTTACTTGGATTTATTTCTGTTTCATTTTGTTTTGAGTTAAAATAACTTTGATTTATTTTTGAGTTGCATTATATTTTAATTTTGTAATTAGCTATTTGTTTTAACCGTTTATTAACTTTGTGTATGTGTTATGATGTTGTGTGTGTGTGTGAAATAAGGGAGAGGATTTCTGTAAACTACCAACTTGTATTAATTCTAATTTAGCTTATGGTGTTTGATTATATTTAGGTCTAGGAAGAGCCAGAGATAAGGAAACGGGGATAGTTACGATATTAATATAATAATATTTTACCCTTTCATAACTATCACAGAATATATCTTTTTTCAAGTGTAATTAAAATTTTTGTGCAGGTGTTATGCATTTAATTAGCATCTTCTTGGTAAACTGAATTAACAAAGGTAGTGAATTTACACTATTATTTTTGTTTAGGTAGTAGTTAATATTGCAATGATTAGTCTATAGAATTTATACCTACTTGGCCCTACTTCTATGCTGGCCCCTGTATTGAGGTTATGCTCATTTCATGGCATAATACAGAGACTAATACAAGTATGAGTTAAGAGATACTGTACTAGGTAGTGGCCTGAAATATTAATAGGATATTTCATTATTTTTGTTCCTGTTTTTTGTTCTCTCCTCTGCAGATGTATCACAATCCCTCTCTCTGCCCCAAAAGCCAGTCTGAGTTATGTTGTAAGATCTGAAACCAGCAAGTAACTGACAATTTACACATACATAATTGCAAGAATAAGAATTTTAATGTTATTTGTACATTTGTTTCTATGCTTATTTTCATTCCCAAGGTTATTATTATTCTCTGCTCAACATTTCAGGAACCTGTATTTTATGAAGGATGTAACTTTCTGTAGGACAACGGTGTATATGAATACCGCAATTGCTTTGTCAGTTACATGTAATACTCTTCGCTATTTAACTGCCTAAGTTGAATACGTTTTTTCTGTACATTTTACACATCATACACTGATCTATTACTTTAATGCAAACATCCACAACCTTGTATTTACAGTGTCATCTGATTAAGGGCAGATTTCTCCAAAATATTGCTA